GCACGCACGTGTGCTGCCGTTAACAACGACGGCCGTCGCACTGTCAGTCAACGGAGGGGAGGAGGAAATGGGAGTACTCTTAGACGGCGGAATGGTGGCGGGAAGCACGCACGTGTGCAGCTGCGACTTATCGATCTCAAGTTCAAGAAGGTGGCCGTCATCTGTGCCGATATACAAATGTAACCGGTCGTTGAGCTCAAGGAGCGCCACTCCCCAGAATCCCTTCGTGGAACTTCGCGCCACCGTCTCCACCCTCTGTGCTTTTCCGCACGGCGAGTCTACCTGCACCCAGCTCAGATAGCCCGACACTTCCAAGACGAAGACGTTACACCCGTCCTATGTCATCGCCATATCTCGCAAACCAGCGAAAGAGACGTTCAAACCATCGCCTCCGACGTCTTTAAGATTGCCGTTATCCGGTGACGGAGTTCCCGCCAGAACAGTTGGGTGGGAAGAGGACGACTCTGTCCAAAGTGCCGACTCGACTCTCCATATCCGATCGCTAGGTCGATCCCATAGAAGAACACAGCCGTCTGCAGAGTGCGAGTCAGACAGAGAAGTCGTCTGAGTGCCGATGGCGACCTGGGATGCGTCCGGCTCACCGCTGCGGGAGTCGAAGAYTGCAATTGTTTCGACATTCATCCCGTCGATGGGGAAGCCTGATGGGCCAATCGACAGAGAAAGAAGGCGAGCCGGCTTGTAATTATCTACCATGTACAGCTTTGTCYTCGTCGGATTGAGCGCTAAGGTTGAGATCTTGTCAGCTGCCACAGGGATGGACGTTCGGGAGCCATCGCTCGTCGACAGCAAGGTCAGATTTGCTGAAGACAGACCGAGAAGGAGATGCGATCCGTCCGGGGAGAGATCCATGCCCTCCGCCATAGCCAGAGTCGATGAGCTCTGATTCCTCTCGAACACGGCGGGGGAAGAAGACGTAGGCGCTTCACCGTCCAGACTGTGAACGGCCCACCCATAGCTGACGACGATCGACTCATCAACGACGGATTTCCTTTCCTCGATCACGTCAATCAGATCCGCTTTCCTGAAGGAAAGACGCGATTGAGCAATGATTCCCTGGACAGTGCAGCGCTCTTCGAGAATGTAATAGAACCGCGTGCTGTTGGGAAGAAAGACGATGTTGCGCACCATCGATCCGCACCAAGATGAAYCGTTCCCCGCCGTCGATCTGTCGAAGGGTGGCTGGGGTGTGTGGGCGAGCACAGCTCTCGCCGTGCTGTTCACGAACAGAGACGGGTGCAGGACCGTCAATTCGGACGGGGCCCGCCCTGCAACACCCAACGACCGACTGCCATCTTCCCTACCCGGCTGGGAAACGACACGAAAATAGTGATCCCACGGATGGGAGTGAAGGGTGCTTTGTACCTGGTCACATCCGCTGCTGCTGCCAACCATTAGGGTAAAGAATAGCAGTACTAAAGACCAATAGCGTGGTCGCAGTTTGTTGCGATCGACGAAGAGCCCGGCGCGCATAATGGAAGCCCAGCTCCTCCTCCATATCAGGGAACCATAATTGTAGTCCATATCCGGACAGCCTATCTCCATCTGCGCCCTAATTTGATTCCCAGCACTGACAAACAAAGGAGGTGGTTTTGGTTCTTTTTTGGCAATCTGGATATCTCAAGACTATCGTTCTTCACCATATCCAGTCCCGTCCGGGCCGTTCCAATCCCAATCCTCTACTCAGTCTACTGCAAGCACCATAACCCTCCGGACAGAGACAGCCGCCCACGCCTGATCGCGCACATTATGCACACGGACTGGAAACACCAGCAGAAATTGATTTTTGTGCCAATCACTTACCCAAATATGACCGGAATTGGAGTACTGGGAGGAGGGAGGGGTAGACCGTAGAAGAGAAGAGGAAGAGGGAGTGAGAAGGAGAGAACTTGTCGACTGATGAACGATCAGCTTCGCACGCAGAGATGTTTCCAGTCCGGTCAAAACGTCGGTGTCATGTCGACTGCACGACACCATCCATATATTCCTACAAGGCTGCAAGATTACCCTCCTCTTCTCTTTAAGTGCAATCAAACAAGCAACTTCCGCACAGCCGTCCTGCCCATGGCTGCTATCCCGGACTTTGATTATCCCCCCCCCTCCTCCCCCTCTAGAAGCAAATCTATAAAGCCGGACTAGGAAAGAAACCTCTGAAATGGAGGCGCCGGATTAGGAAACAAAACTACCAAAGCTCTTAAATTGAGGCGCCGGATTCGGAAACAAAACTATCTTAACTATGAAATGGAGGCGCCGGATAAGGAAACAAAACTATGAAATGGAGACGCCGGATTAGGAAACACAGCTATGAAATGGAAGCAAAACTTGCCACCTGGCAACCGAGTTACACACACTGCTTGTGCGTGACCAGAGGGTGTAAGGAACCTGGCACACGGTCTTGTCCAGGTTCTTCTTCTGATGTTCAGTATGATTGTCTGCCTCTCGCCTGCATCTGTTCACTGTTGACAGTATGGCTACCGTAGTCTTCTCTGCCTTCTCTTCTCTCTCGGTCAACTCCTCTCCGCCTCTCTAACACTTGCAAGCTGCAAACGGGAACGCAAAGAAAATAAAGAAAGAGGACTTTCGAAGGGTTATTTAAAAAAAAAACGAGTATCATTATATATTCGCACTCCCGTGGCGCGTGCGAATGACCTAAGCTGTCCCCGTTCCTGCCTTCCCCTTTTTTCCACACAATTTCCCGACTCCGTTCTCTCCTACGGCCTGCTCCCGCCAGATATGTCTATGCCCCGCGCATGTCATCGCTCATGTGAAGCACTTCGTCTTCCTTTTCAACTGGTCAAAAAGAGCAGACTGGGCAGCGTGTACTCAAACACGTCCATTTTCTACCGCTGCCTCTCACACCCTGAATCCCTGATCGCCATCCGCAAACCTGCGGCCTCGAAATCCTTTCAGAGAACAGCATTCTCTCCAATCAGAATCTCATCTCTCTTCCCCTTCTCTCTCTCTCTCTCTCTCTCTCTCTCTCTCTCTCTCTCTCTCTCTCTCTCTCTCTCTCTCTCTCTCTCTGTGTGTGTGTGTGTGTCTCTGTGTGTGTGTGTGTGTGTGTGTGTGTGTGTGTGTGTGTGTGAGGCTATGTTCCTCTTATTATTTCGGTTTCGTCCCTGCTCAAACCGTCAGCTAAGTTGCAGAAAGCATTGTATGTACGATTTACTCGTTCTTCCCTGTCTGTCGAGAATAATGTCCTGAGCTAAAAGAAAGGGACAAGGAGATTCATTTACCATCCTCCCTGCTTCTCGTGTTCTGCTTCCGGCTCCTCTGCTCCTCTGCTCCTCCTGCTGCTCCTCCTCCTCCTCCGTTTGCTTCCTGGCAACGACGGCCTGTTCCTCTCTGACAATCGTACAGCCTCTGCCTGAATACCAAACCGCAGCTTCTTCGCTGTCATTGAGTCTCTCCCACACAGACCACTTCTTTCAAATCTGCAGATTACAAAACATGGTCGACAAATTGAACAAATCACTGAAAAACAATCAATCAATTGATACAACCAATCAAGGGAAAAGTCATACGACCTCCCCGGGAAGAAACCTTCGTATCCATTTCCCCCCAAACGAGAAAAAAAGTGCCGCAGGTCGCAAAATCACTTTCGGTGTCATTTTCGCTCCCCGGCTAGCAGGGTGCGAAAATGACGCCGAAAGTGATTTTGCTGTCTGCGGCACTTTTTTCCCCGTTTGGGGGGAGATGGATGCAAACATTTCGTCGCGCGGAGGTTTTATGACTTCTCCCAACAATCAATCAGTTGATTTAAATTACTAATCAATTGCTTAATAGATCAATTAACGCCCTACTCATCACCCGAGCCCACCAATCGCCGTCAAGGTGTCTTTTGCGTTTTCAAAAAAATCATTCTTCCACGTTTGATTGACTAATCAATCAATCAGTCAATCAATCAATCAATCAATCAATCAGTCAATCAATAAACCAATCAGTTTATGAACCAATGAATCAGCTAATTAGTGGCCCCGCGATGGCCGATCTCGATCACGGCTCTGCATTTATGCCCTTTATACCGAGAAGAAGGAAAAAGAAAAACACTCCTCAACATAGCTCGATATACGGTTCACTAGCAGCTATCAGAGTGAACCAGTCTGTCAGAGTCGAAATCCTAATGAATACAATCATGCTGTGGCCTTTAGCCCCCCGTGGCTGTATCTAAAAAAAAAAGGAAAAGAAAAGGGAAAACGTTCAGAAAAGGGCGAAGAACAGAGCATACCTCTGCAGGAGTCGTTCCGATAAAGTCCTCAGTGAAGTCATTCCGGCGAAGTCCTCCGTGAAATCCTGGACTCGGGGGCACGCTCCACTGCTCTCCACATGCACAACAGACGGTAAATATGGCGCTGTGCGTTTCGATGTTCTAGCGGAAGATTCGTTCTCATTTTGCAGATTTGGTGAGTGGTGGATTGAGGGCCTTGGACGACTGTACAGCAAAGTTCTTCCCTGGGGCCACGTCCCACTAGCAGCGTTGAATTTCTTCAACGCCCGAATGTGGACGTGTTTGTCGAGAAGTGCGGTTGAGGAAACTCAAGACGATTTTCTGCGCAACTCAACAAACACGTCCACATTCGGGCGTTGAGTTTCCTCCACGCCCTTAGTGGGACTTGGCCCCTGCTGTGTCTATGTCAGGTATTGAGGGCGTACTCAGGGCATACTCAGGGCATACTCAGGGCACGCTCACACTAGGTACCCAAATTCCCAAAAAATGGGAAAATGGGAACGGCCGTTTTGAGGAAATGTGGCCCTGGCCGGTCACACTGTGTTCCCAAAACGCTAACGACAAGGTCGCTACATCATACTCTGCGAGGTGGTTGTGGAGGGCGCCAGTCACACAGTGGATACCTCAAATGGCAAATGCATTTATTCCTTTTGTCAATTGATAGGCCGCTAATATCGTGGGGTTCCATTTTTCTCCAATACTGCACGATAATTCGGAAAAAGATTTGAGAATTTGCGGCTTCGCAGGCTGCTGACAAATGGTCACCCCTTTTGAGAATTTGGGCAGATGTTCACCATGTGTGACTGTCCGGGAACTCTTTTTTTTGGGGGAAATGGGGATTTGGTACCTAGTGTGAGCGAGGGCGCGGGGACCTATATTCCCAAAATCCCAAAAAAAAGGCGAAAAGGTCGGTCAAACGGATCTCCCAAATTTGCAAATGTACCATTCCTGTGCCCATTTGTCAGCGGCCTGGGGAAGCCGCGGGGCAAGGGATTTTGCTGTCACCTCTGGAGGTGACCACAAATGCACTATTTTTTTTATTTTTTTTTTCGGAGAACAACCCGGGCGGATGCTAGGGATGCTGATAAGAGCAGACACCTCTAGCACTGCCGGGGAGGCTCCATCTATTGGTGGGGAGCAGCACCCGCTGGAAAGCGGGTCCAGCGTCCCTGAGCACTGCTGGAAAGCAGCATCTCTAGCACTGTCAGGGAGGCTCCATCTATTGCCGGGGAGACTTTGAGCTCAATCCGGATCTGCCACAAGAACAGGCCGAGAGAAATGGAGGCGCCACGACAGAAGGATCGGGAAGCCGGCGTCGCCGAAGAAGTGAATCCCCGGCCCAATCCCCTCCCTGGCCCAACCTTCACCTACGTTGAGATGCGGGCACTCAGGCTTCGTCTTCGGTCGTTATCTCGTCGTCCCCATGACTTCGTCACTCTTCAGCAGCTCGTAGGCCGACCCCCATTCCCTGACGATGGCACCCCTTCCCGCCTTCCCACTTCCACCATCTCTACTTCACTCGCGTCCTGATCACAATCTTCCCACACGTTACCACTCGCTCGCTACCTCTTTCCCCCTCCATGTCCTTCTCTTTAGCGTGGATTGGCAGGAATTCAATAATATAGAGTTGTATTGTATCATCGCGGGCACGATCCCAGCGTGCAAAGAGTATGGCGATTTTCGTGCTGCGATCCACCGGACCCTCTGCACGCTCTATCCCGATTACCTCGCTTCACTCCCCCACCAACGTCGACACCCACGTTTTCCCGGCATTCACCGCACAGTTCATTACACCCAAATCCCCACTGACGATCGAGAGATCCGTCACTTCATGCCTCCCCTTCCCAAAGTCCATCCACCACCTCCTCCGCCCGTAATCAGACTGCCTTTCCCGGGTAACGTTTAGAATGGAGCGCACGAATGCCACGATGGATGACTGCCACACTCAGATCTTACGGTAAGTGGCCGTGTGAACTCCCCGTCGATCCTCGGATCACGATTCGACACCTGATGAGAGAGCAAGCAGGAGCTTGCTCAAGATTGGAACCCCTTGGGCGTCACATATGTGACGAACTATTTTCTGCAATCGCACAACTTTCTGCGCGAAGCGATTTCGGGGGTTGGAAACTAGTTGGTTGGGTGAAAGATGAAGGGTTGGTCGGGCAAGCTGTACGGATATCCTCGCTACTTTCTTTCTTTGCTTTTGGGACCAGAGTCGGGAAAGTCCCTCGACTACGATTGAGTGACCGTGCCTTAGTGAGCGCGATAAATAGCGGTTGCCATAACTTTTTCTTGTTCTGCTGTAGGAAATAGGAATTTTGGCGCGATTAGCGCGCGGGAATGTCGTTTTCAAATTTATAACGGATGAAGAACTCTTAAAATTGTTTCTTTAAACTTTTCGAAATTTCTTTTTGCAAATAGGATTTAGACTAGGAATTTAGGAGCTCTCAAATTTTGTTGCGCCGCGCTTTTTGCTCGCGGACCACTCACCGCAGTGGGAACTCGGCTCTGACTGGATCGCACCTTTAATCCTACATGTAACTGTAATTTTTGGCAAGCGCGATTTTAACTGTACTCCTTGATTCTCTTGCGTTTCCCCGCCTTCTTCCCCTCTGTCGTGCGTACCTCGTCGTCCACTCCAATTGGCCTGAGCGACTGCATGATCGGATCGATGTGTGGAGTGTGGTTGCGTCCCCCACGCCTCGGCTTGGCCATGCAGGCGTAGGCACTTCCTTCTCTTCCCCTTCCCCTCACTTAGGCATAATCCCGAGTTCATCGCGCAAACATGCACGCTATAAATTTCGCAAGCGCGATTAGTTTGCTCTCTCAGAATTTGGAATTTAGCGTGGTCAGCGAGGATCGACTAACAAGTAAGTGAGAAGATGAGCCAAAGTGAGTCGGGCGACCCCACGAGCTGGTGCCGAGTAGGGAGAGAGGCCGTGGCACATAGGAAACAGACAGCGGTAGAAGACAAGCAGCCGATCAAGGAATCAAGAGGGTCATCGCCGCAATGGCTACACGGCGATCGGGCGCTCAAATCCGGAACTGTCACAAGAACAGGCTGAAAGAAATGAAGGCGTCACGGCAGAGGGATCGGGAAGCCGGCGTCGCCAAAGAAGTGAATCCCCGACCCAATCCCCTCACCGGCCCAACCTTCGCCTACGTCAAGCGGACGAGTGGCAATGTTCGTCAGGCCGAGACACGCGTATCCCTGTACTGTCGTACAAGGCAATGTTCGTCAAGCAGACGAGTGGCGTGCCACTGTTTTGGTGGTGAGGGGATCGAGGAGCAGAGGCTTGTGCTACGGCTGAGTAAGTCGGCGCAGGTCCTCGAGAAAGGGGCGCAACTGACTGTGCGCCTGGGCCGCATGGTAGAGCGGCGGGGGCAACAGTGACAGACTGCGAGGGAGCAGCGGTAGAAGAGGTCGCAGCAACCGAGGGAATAGGAAGAAGGTAGGATGGGGGTGGATAGGGTGCAGGGCGAAGGAAGCAAGCCTGCATGGAAGGAAGAGTAGAGGAAGAAGGGGGTGCGCCCGAAGGCGCGGCCACCTGTGAGGGTAGTGGTGGCCGAAGCATAAGAGGGTCAGGTCGGCCCGAGTCTGGGCAAGCTCGTCCTTGAGACGTCGAACGTAGATTGAGCGAGGAGTGGCAAGAGGAAATGTGGGGGAAATGGACGTACGACCGGCGGGGGGCATCCCATAGGGGGAAGAGCAAGGTGGTGCTTCGGTCGTGCGAAGGGGAGAGAGAAGTGGGTTACCCGGAAAAGCTGAGACCGCGGCAAGGGGTTGCCGTCCCGTGGCCGTGGTGACCGGAATCTGAGCGGGTGCGCCCATAGAGTGAGGGAGGGCCTGGCCCATGGCGGCCGTCGCACTAGAAGCGTGGACGGTCACTAGGATGGTCGAGTCGGGGGCAGCGAAGGAGGAAGCTCCGTAGTGGCCACCATCTCGAAGGACGGGGGACCCGGACTAGGAGCCAGGGGAAGAGAGAGAGTGGGGAGAGGAAGGACGGTCAGCGTCACGGAGTTGCCGCAGGCCAGCGACAAGAGTCGCCACCTGCGCCTTCCCCTTTTTAGGTAATCGTAGGTGTATTTGCCTGAATGCTCATAAGTTCGTTCTAATTCCAATGAGACCGTGATTCAATCGTGAAGGAGCATGTAATTTTGCTCAAAAGTAAACGCGTTCGGTAACAAAAGGACGTACGGACTCTTGTAGTCGAGCGCTCTTACGATTGTATGCAAGGTAATAAACATAGATTAAGATTCTTAGTGACATCAAGGACTTTAGTCCTTGTCCGATTTCCACGCACAACTTGAGAGTAGAATTTTGACTTATCACCAAAATCACAAGAGAGACCAGAGAAAATTATCACACAGATTCCGACTTCACTCATTGTGTTCCTTGGCCCTGACTTGTTACCTTTCTTTTACTCTCTTGTGTAATATCGCAGCTCATACTAGAAGCCTTCATCCCCATTCCTAGCCAAATTTCGGATCACGCGACTAAGGCATGCAAGACAAGTTCTCTTGTCACTTAGTCATTATCTTATCAACTTACTTCTAGCGTAAGGCCCAAGTGACGATCCCTGCATTTCCAACCACGAGTTTACTCGATTTACGGACGGCAAATACCCTCGAGAGCTACTCACAAGTTGCGGGTTCGATTAATGACGAGCTCGTAACTCACAAGGTAATTGGTACTTTCCGGTCCTACTCAATTATAAAGATGAGATTTCGTTACCTTGCCAAGTCTTGACACGAGACAAGCGCTTTCCAAGGCAAGAACTTTTATACCGTTGATTATTACTTAGCTCAGATCTCCTGCCAACGTATTTGTGGTCTGATCAATAGCGCTCGTTCAGACAAGAACGTCCCAGTGCCTCAAGGTCTCGTAACTCGCTGGCTAACCAACAGCTACCTCAAAGTCAGCGCTTATGCACGAATGGCGTTGATGTCAACTGAGAATCACCTCTCCTTTACTCTCTCAAGAACCCGTGCGTTAGTGCAACCCGGACAACATGGAGTCTAGCAGAAGAAGACACTCGTTCGATCTTAGCAGATCAGCCTGGTTGGAGATGAAGTGAAGTGATAACAAAAGATTCGTGAAAACCCAACAAAACCAATAAAACCCAACATTTTGTATAGAGTGAAATCGTGGAATTGAAACAGTTAAATTAAAAAAAAAAAAAAAACCGTTTTTAATCCTTTATGGAGAGACGAGGCCAAAAATTGAGCTAAAAGTGAAGCGATTTTAAAAATGTGTCGGAAAACACTTTCTAGAAAAAATTTTGTTATAGGACTATAAGTGATTTCCAACAGACTGGTAAACCGCAGAGCTCGAATAAAAAAATTGCAGCACGAACTCGAAAGCTATAAAAAAAACAGTTTTAGTGAATACTGACGTATAGGACTATACGTCGTTCTCAAGTATAAATTCCTCTAAAACAAATTTGAAGCTAACAGTAGAAACATGCAAAACAAATATATGATATGCAAAATATTAACACAAACAACTTTTGCCTCGGATGCATCTTCAAATTGTTAGTCAAATCCAAGTAAAAAATAAAAATCCAAAGAAAAAATAAAATAAAATCCTAAAAAAAAAAAGGGAAAGGTTGCACATAAAAGTGAGAACATATTAAGGGGAAAGTAGTCACAAACAAGATAACATGTCATTCTGCTCACGAAACCCTCGAACACGTTCAATATGCTACATACCTTATAGGACTATACACATGATTTTTTCAGACAATAAAAGAACTGCATATTTTTACTCCTTAATAAATGATGTTTCGCTTGTTAGTGATTTTTTAGAAAAAAACATGTTTTTTTCCTCGCCACTTCCAGTGGTTCTAAAAACTTGCCTTTTTATTGAAGTTATTTTACTTCACGGGAAATCTTGCTCCTACGGAAGGCCTAAATCCTGTAGTTTTAGAATCTTCAATAAATTTCATTCAAACCCAACATTTTTTTTTGTTGGCTTTTCACGAATCCTATGTTTGATTTTGAACTGGAAGACTAGTTCCAATCACTTCTCAAAGTTGAATCACCTCCCGAGGGTCGTTCGATCATTCATGTCGCTTTATCTTCGCCCCTACTCACATCGATCCTCTGAGTCAGTGACGGAGGTCAGAGCAGAATCCTAACACCATAGTCCCAGCGAGAAGGGCAAGTTCAAATAGGCCAGGTGACAATAACAGCCTCAAGCCAGACGTGTATATACGCCTTTCCACGTTGATAACCTTTTCTCTCTTCTTAGATGCTTTGTCCCACAACATGCTATGGCGATGTTAACTCACGCATGAGTTACTCATGACCCTGCTTTCAAGACAATGCTGAAGGTTGTTGGATCATGTGAGTACCACCCATGAAACGCAAAGACTGCCTCTGACGACAACTGTACTGCCTAGACTCCCCTCTTAACACACACCACTAAAACTTCCTCCCCATTGACTTCTCACCATAGCCAATTGACGCCCAACGACTAATCGTCACTAGTCGACAGCGGGGGAGGTGAGTCGGATCACTTTTGCAAGTACTTGGAAACAAATGGCTAAGGCTTCCCGTTCGACCAGCTCAGATCATGTACATGCACGCGCGATGGAGATCCTTTCCCACAGCCATTAAAACGCATCAGGTCTCATCTGAGTGAACGCGTCACCCATTGCATTCAGTGACATCTTGGTTGAAGAAGCACGTATGCGAGCTTTGCTCACAGCAAGAGCATCACGCTGGAGCGAGGGCGATCGTTGACGTCAATCAGCGCTAACACTCTCATGTGGATTGTGCGTCCTCTCGAAGTGCTGGTTTCTTCGTGCTCTTTCAGACCATTCCAAGCTCGCGAGGACGGCGCGAGGTACTAACTTCCAATTGGTTGCCTGAAGGTGCAAGCGTACAGACTCATTTGTCAGGCAATGAGTAGGAGCGTCTCCCCAGCACTGCGTATAAGCGTTAACCCTCTCTCTCCCTCTGTAACCTCCTCTTTCGTCCCTTCTCCTACTGATACCACTTACGGATCGACGGCCCTCATACTGGCGTGCACCAACTCCCTCAGTTAGCTGGTCTCTAGGCCATGCAACACGGCAATCAAGAACAGGCCCGGGAAGTCTGACGAGCGGGAACAACTTCAAAAAAAAAACGCTCCCTGGGTGATGCCCCATGCACTGGCTCATCTCTCAAATGCCGTGAGGAAGCATTGAGCAGACCTCCCAGTTTCACACCTCTGTACTTCTTGGAACGCCACGTGCAGCGCGTGCGTTCTCTCGTAACCGCCTCGCAACTTCTCACACGCGTTCAGTTCTCTCTTCTTCTATCTCCCTCTCTGTCCCGTTGACTCTCTTGGCGCGACACATGTCCCTTCGTGCTAGATCCCAGGATGTCGAGTGAAGCCGACTCTGACATCAGTCACGCGAGTGTCCGACTTGACTTTTTCACTGGTCACATATCAGCCAGCAAGTGATTGCAACCTATGCACCGGCGAAAGGTTGCTAGTCTGTGCCCAAGGCGGCGAAAAGGTCGAAGCTGGTGCAAGGCAAACAGATCAAGTGGCGACTTCCTCCATGCACCTCAGGCTACCCTCTCTCTTCGAGCCACTGCCCACAGATTCTGGCAAGATCTCTGTCCTCTTGTCTTCTCGCCCCTGCGGTAGGCGCAAAACGTCGCGTAAGCGTGGTAACGGAAGTTGACGTCAGTCGCACACCCCAGCACACGTCCTGCTTTTCCCTCTCCGTGTCTACTCTCCTCTGACTTTTTCCTCACTGTCCTAGACCTTGCCACGTGTCGCTCATGCCTGCGCGTGTAACTCGTCACAGTCCCTCGAGTCTAAGTCCTGCCTATTACTCGCCTCTGCACTCGATAGCCTAGCCTCTGTCGGTCTCGTTTCACCCTGGGCCGAACTGGCCTCGGGTCTGTCCTCTACTGACTCAGCTGGCGGGTGCTCTCTCCTCCACTGCTCCAGCCCGTGCCAGGACTGAGTCAGGTCCTCGCTATCTTCGGACTCAGCCCTTGAGTCCCGGTCTTGTTCTTGTTGCTCTCTCTCTGTCGTACCCGTAGAGGTCTCTTCCTCATGATAAGTGACCGTGACTCGTAACGTCGGGGTTACTCCATCTCGCCGGCACCTCCGTTCCGCCCTGCTACGAGCCTCGGTGACCACACCCTGTATTTTTGCATCTTCCCTCATCTCTTGCTCTCTTCCCCCGTAGACATTAATTCTCAGTCTAGCCTGTCCCTCACTCTTGCTGTAAGTCAGTCAGACATCCACTGTAACACCCTCTTCACGCATAGGTGCCCAGCTCCAGTAGAACCTCAAGTGCCTTGG